CTTAATCTCACCATGATGGTTTTTTTCATGCTCCTTAACCCTTTCCTTCTCCAGAAACAATCTATGTGATCCTGTATCGCCTTCCCAGTAACTTATTCCAGATGGTCAGATTTGTGCAAAATAGTTCTCTTTTAGCTTTCTATTTATTCCTAGTTTCCTCATTTTTACATTATGTCCCCTAGTTTTTGAACCCCTCTTCCCTATCATCTTTCTTACTCTCTGAAACTATTTGTGTCACAAAGAAAACTCTTTCAAATCCACAATTCCAGCCATACAAAGCTAATGAGGCTTCCTCTTTTTTAAATGGAGATAGGAGATATAGGTTGGGGTGGGGGTTCAGAGACAGTTTGATGTGTGGCCAATGGGTGTGAATTCAGCATTATTGCTAACAGAAGTTCTCAGGGTGCTGTTTTTGTTGTTAGCGACAAAAGAGAAAATAGAATGTTTGAAGTAAAATGTTTCAGGTATCCCATATGTGGATTCATTTTTCACTAACCTCCTAGAATGTTCTGGACCTTTGTAGAATCTCGTGGAACCTTCCAGACTTTCAGAGAACTACATTTTCCTCGAACCTCCTAGAATGTTGTCAGCCATGCCCTCGCAAATATATGAGAGGTGTCACAATACAGTCAATGAGATATAAGAATGAAGTGAAGTAAAGTGAGAGACCAACTGCGATATTGTGAGCCTTATTTGGATTGACCTTATGGCAAGGAAGGCTTGGCAAAGCTAAGTACTGTGCTGTGATAATGGACTGCACTCCCGACATTAGTTACAGTGTAAGGAAGTCATTTACAGTAAGATTTGTTTAGATATAACCATACTCAGATATATCTAAGTAAAGGAACACTTTACCTGTTTCTGGTCTTTGTATGACTACTGGAAAAGGCCTAACAGAACTGCTTATGAACATTTTAAATCAGAATAAAATAAAACTTCAGGACTATCGTGGCCACAACTATGACAACGGGGTGAACATGAAGGGAAGAAACAGTGGTATCCAAGCAAGGATCCTTGCACTGAATCCAAGAGCTTTCTTTGTGCCTTGTGGCTGCCATTCCCTCAACCTGGTTGTGTCAGATGTAGTATCATCTTCTTTAGATTCAGTATCTCTCTTCGGAGTACTGCAAAGGATATACGTCCTGTTTTCAGCATCAACTATCAGGTGGAAGATCCTCACGGACAATGTTACAAATCTGACTGTGAAGCCACTAAGTGACGCTCACTGGGAGAGCCGCATTGACAGCATAAGGCCAGTGAGTTACCAAGTGACTGAGGTTTCCGACGCCCTGATGGAACCGGTGTAGTTGAATAAAGCTGAGGCTGGAATCTGACATGCGGCACAAATCCTAGAAAACCAGATCACTGACTTCAAATTTCTGGTCTCAATTGCGGTTTGGCACAATATCCTGTTCCAAGCAAATGTTGTAAGCAAGATATTACAAACTCAGTCAATGGACATCGCGACCGCTATTACTTTGATTAGAAGCTGCCTTGATTTCGTTGTGGCCTAGAGAGACAACAGATTTGAAGGTGCCATCACTGCTGCCAAAGAAATGGCAGAAAACTTAGGAGTTAAGCCTCTTTTCAAGGAAATTCATATTCATCGCAAGAAGAGGCAGTTTGGTTACAAGGCCAGAGATGAGGTGATGGAAAGCTCGGAAGAAAAATTCAAGAGGGAGTTTATTTGCTCACTCATTGATATTGCTCAAGTGTCCTTCAAATAAAGGCTTGGACAAATGAAGCACCACGAAAAGATCTGGGGCTTTTATACGACCTTGGTAAGCTGCCAGCAGACAGGAAAACATTCTTGAATAATTGTATGGACCTTTACTGACACATGGGGAATGTTCAGATGTCAATGATAAAGACCTCTGTCAAATTGGACAATATCTGTCACATTTGCCACATGGGAAGCACTCTCCACTCCAAGTTCTCCAGTTCATTCATGAGGCAGAGCTGAAGGACATTCTTCCTGACGTGTGGATAGTTTTGAGGATTCTGCTCATGCTGCCAGTCACAGTTGTGAGTGGAGAGCACAGCTTTTTGAAGCTCAGACTCATTAAAACATATTTTCGATCAACGATGGCCGATGAGAGATTGACATTGCTTGCTATTTTATCGCTTGAAAATGCCATTGGCCAGTCTTTGGATCTTTCTAATGTTGTGCTTCAGTTCATGAGAGCAAAGATGAGAAAAGCGACCTTTTGAACTAAAGGACTAGAGTTAACATTCTAAGGCTGTGACTTACTGTAACACCATTTAATGTGAGTCCAGCCAATGTCTGTGCACAGTTCAATTTCTTGATGTTAGTACATTTCAGTTATTCTTAAAATTAAAAAGTTTATAGAAGCTTAGAGGAAACAATTTTTTTAAATGTGCTTATACATGGCATGAATAAATAAAGATTTACAGATCCTAATGTGGAAATGTATCATCTTATATGACAGGGATAAATCATTCATGCAAATTGTGCATCAAAGTCATGAAATGGGGTACAAATGCAATACAAAAATAAAATATTCAAAAGTTTAACAAATGGAGGGGTGGAGGCACTGAAGACGCTCCTTGCCTGGGGTGCCATTTGCTCTAGGGCAGGGGTCGGCAACCTACGGCACGCATGCCAAATGTGGCACGCGAGCTGATTTTAAGTGGCACGCAGCTCCTTGCCGCGGTCCCGGCCCCCAGCCCCACTCAGCGCCCCCGCCCACCGCTCTCCCCTGTGGGGGCAGGAGGCAGAAGCTTGCTTCTGTGGCAGCCAAGCTTCCCCCCTCCCGCGCTTCTTCCCCCAGTGTGGTGCTTTCCTGCCCCTTCTCCTCTCCTTCCCTGCGCCAATCAGCTGATGGCCCTAGCGAGGGGGAGGGGGAAGAGCGGCAGCGTGCACACAGCTCCGTAGAGGACGCAGAGAGAAGTAGGGACGGAGCCTGGGGGAAGGGGGTGGAACAGGGCATATCCCTTCCAGCCCCCTGCCATGAGCCGCTCAGGGCAGAGGGCTGGGAGCACCCCCATGAGCTGAGCACCCCAGCCTTCTTCCCTGCACCCCCCACCCCTCTGCCCTGAACCCCCCCCACCCCAACACACACCCATCCCTCTGCCCTGCACCCCCACAGCCCCATCCCTCTGCCCTGAACCCCCCACACACACTCAGCTTTCTGCCCTGCAACCCCCACTCCCCCAGCTTTTTCCCTCACCCCCCACATCCCAACACACACCCAGCCTTCTGCCCTGCACCCCCCACACCACAACACACACCCAGCCTTCTGCCCTGCACCCCCCACAGCCCCCAACCCTCTACCCTGATCTCTGAACCCCCCCACACACACCCCAGCCTTCTGCCCTGAACCGCCTGCCCCAGACCTCTGCCCTGACCCCTGAAACACCCCCCCCAGGTCTGGGGTCCCGGCCGCAGGCCCTGATCAGCCCTCTGCCGGCCTAGGTGAACAGAATCCCAGGCTGGCAGCGAGCTGAGCAGGCTGATGGCGTAAGATCAGCATTTTAATTTAATTTTAAATGACGCTTCTTAAACATTTTGAAAACCTTGTTTACTTTACATACAATAGTTTAGTTATATAACATAGACTTATAGAAAGAGACCTTCTAAAAACGTTAAAATGTATTACCGGCACGCAAAACTTTAAATTAGAGTGAATAAATGAAGACTCGGCACACCACTTCTGAAAGGTTGCCAACCCCTGCACTAGGGCCAGTCCTGGCAAAATGTATTTACAAAGGAATGTTAAGGTTTTTAAGTAAAGATTAAATATGATTCTTTAATCTTAAGATTAAATCTCTCCTCCCACACAATATTTTATATAAATTAAAAATGATTTATAGTAAAATGTTGGATAGTATACTGCATGCTATGTACAGTTCAAAATGAATAAGCTCTTTAAAAAGGGAAAACATATTAACCACAACAGTGCATTTTGCAAACCTCTTATCTTTTAGGGCTATTTTAGAAATTGGATTTTATTTTTCCAGTCTGTTTTCCCCTTATCTCTCTATTTACATTGCCCATAGTTTATGGCTACATTACTGCTTTCTGTCCCTACACCGAACAGATCATGCTGATAACAATTTAAGCAAAAGGTATGCTTGGAATTTCAGGGATCATACGACTTAGAGTAACTCTTAGATTTTAAACACCTAGTGTTTGAAACATATGCTGTTGGGTCTGACAAGCTCAAATTCTAAGAGATACTATTAACGAGGCCACAAATGTCCCTGGTTTGACTTAGCAAAATATCCCTTTCAGATGTGGGAGAGTTTTTTATGCACTGAAGGATACAATGGGGACGATGAAAGCTGAGCAGTAGGACGTTTACTTTTTGAACACTTCACTAGCCAGTCAGAATGCTCTCTTAGTTCTAGTGTTTTTAACATATACATTAAACTGATGTGGAGTTTGTGACTGTCAGTGCCCCACATAAGGCTTTATGGAAATATGCTTATGTATGGGTATATATATAACATAACTAGAGTGTGTTTTATGCTACATATGCCATGTAACATATCTCTGTAAAGGTTATGATCTACTGAATCTATTAATCCTATTTGTATGCATGTATCATTTTTGTATTCGGCGTTATGAATATTGGCTGCATACTTGTTTGATTCTAAGTAGGCTGTAGTGAAGCAGTTGGTCAGCTTCCTGAGAAAAGACTATTCTCAGTAAGTGCCCAGTAAAGAAACACTTAAGCCAACAATGAACTTGGAGACACCAATCCACATCTGGAGTTTCCTAGGAATGTGGCTTGGCTGGTAAGGAACTCAGTCATGCATGGACATGTGACTTGCCTAGGTGACTCCAAAACTCCATTTTGTAGCTGGACTTTGCATAGGAGAGAGGAGGGGGTCTCCACCCACAAGAGAAAGTCTATTTAAGCCCGTGGGAGACCCCTCCATTTTGTCTTCAACTGGCTATAGAGAGGGCCTCTCCACCCCCAAAGATACCTGAAAGAAACTGGAACAATGGACAGTGACTGCAAGGGGTGTGAGTGATTGCTGGACCCAGACTAAAAGATTAGTCTGTAAAAGGAAGCATTCTGGAACTGGTGAGGATCTTATCTGTATTCAGTTTCTTACTGTATTAGACATAGACTTGCGTGTTCTATTTTATTTTACTTAGTAGTTCACTTTGTTCTGTCTGTTACTACTTGTAACCACTTAAATCCTACTTTCTGTATTTAATAAAATCACTTTTTACTTATTAATTAACCCAGAGTATGCATTAATACCTGGGGGGGGGCAAACAGCTGTGCATATCTCTCTATCAGTGTTATAGAGGGCGAACAATTTATGAGTTTACCCTGTATAAGCTTTATGCAGGGTAAAATGGATTTATTTGGGTTTAGACCCCATTGGGAGTTGGGCATCTGAGTGTTAGAGCCAAGAACACTTCTGTAAGCTGCTTTCAGTTAAGTCTGCAGCTGTGGGGCACGTGGTTCAGACCCTAGTTCTGTGTTGAAGCAGACAGGCATGTCTGACTCAGCAAGACAGGGTGCTGGAGTCCCGAGCTGGCAGGGGAAGCAGGGGCAGAAGTAGTCTTGGCACATCACTTGGCAGTTCCCAAAGGGGTTTCTGTGATCCAACCCATCACAACAGACAAAGCGGTTATTGGTTTGTTATTTTCTGTTTGCTTATTTCGGAAAAGAGAAGTAGGGACAGAAAAGGAAGCAAAATAAATAAGATTGAAGATCAGAAGAAGCTAGAACTATACAAATTGCCCAGAAAAGCTGAACATCCAACCCGTCACAGAGTTGTAACAGTTACTTCTATATATCTTTTCCTAAGGAAAAAATATATATTTTTCTTTTTATCTGCCAGCCAGGTTGAAGAGGTATAAATATTTGCTAGCTGTTCAAGCAGGGCCGGCTCCTGCCACCCCAAGCAACAAAAAAGAAAGCAACGATCGGCGGCGGCAGTTCAGCGGCAGGTCCTTCGCTCCTAC